AACACTGGATGCAAAGGAGCCTGAGAAGTGACAGGCTGTTGTAAATTTTTGGTTTTGAGATTTTCAGCAATATAGGAGGGCAAGCTGGAAGGAGGGTGGCATGGATCCTGAGCAACCAATCTATAGTATCTACCATAGGATTGATAGGAGCAGAAGTGCTTTTGAGACAGATAATTTGGGCAAGAGAGTAGAGGCTGAATTGGGGAGAGAGAGCAGCACAAGAGACCAAGTAATAGAGGGTAATGGAATCAAAGATGATGAGGAGCTGATTAAAAATACTGGTAGCAGGGAGACAGAGGAAGGACACATGAAAGAGAGTTTAAGGAGGAAGAGAATTACCATGACTTAGAGGACTGGGTGGCTGGAAGCAAGATGAATGAGAAGAAAGACTTATGGATATCTCCTAGGGTTTTTGCAAGGAGACATTCCTACAAGAGAGGGAACTCAGGGGAAAGAGGAAGGTGGCATGGATAGGAAGATGGTTTCAATTTTAAGCTAGAGGTTCTTGTGACATATTCAGGAGGAGATATCTGTAAGGCAGTTGGAAATTCATCTCTGAAATTCAAGAGAACTACCTGGAACTCATCAGCAGAGAATTGTAAGGTGTACGCAGGCAAGGATTTTGTTCCCCCTAGTGTTCAGTAACTTTATTGAAAGGAGGTGCATCAGTGTGTAATGTAGTTGGTAGTTCAAGCTTTGGGAATGGTTGGGTCCACCATTCAGTGCAAGTGTGGAATGAAGATAAAGGGACTGAGATTAGAAGAACCCTGAGAAATCATGGCCTTAAATGATTGAATGAAGAAGAACCCAGACAGGAAGTAAAGACTGTATAACCAGACAGGTCATGTGGATGATGTCACCAAGGCAAAGAGAGCATTTCAGGAAGGAGAAAGGCATCAGTGGAATCAAGAATGAGAGAAGTCAGGGAAAAGAAAGATGAAATATTGGCCATACCATTTAGTAACAACTTGGTCATTTGTTTATATTCACAAAAGGTTCTCGTTTCCTATGAAATGATGGGAGTGAAAGCCAGGCTGCAGTGGATTAAAGGGTCAATAGACAATGAAGTGGAGATAGGATATAATTGCACTTTCAAGGCCAAAAGGAACAAGAAACAGTAGCTTTGGCAAGGATACGGAGAAAGAGAAAACCTCTTGCACTGTTGGTAGGAATGCAAGCTTTTGCAACCACTATGGAAAACAGTATGGAGAGTCCTCAGAAAGTTAAAAATAGAACTACCCTATGATCCAGCAATTGCACTACCAGGTATTTGCCCAAAGGATACAAAAATACTAATTCAAAAGGATACATGCACCACAATGTTTATAACAGCTTTATCTACAATAGCCAAATAATGGAAATAGCTCAAGTGGCCATTGATTGATGAATGGATAAAGAAGATGTGGTATATATACACAGCCATTACTCAGCCGTAATAAAGAAGGAAATACTGTCATTTGCAATGGATGGAGTTAGAGACTATAATGTGTTAAGCAAAATGAGTCAGTTAGAGAAAGACAAAAACCATATAATTTCACTCATAAGTGGAATTTAAGAAACAAAACAAATTAGCAAAGGGAAAGAGAGGGAGGGGCAAACCAAGAAACAGACCCTTAGCTATGGAGAATAAACTCAGGGTCACCAGAGGGGCTACCTGTGGGAGGATGGGTTAAATAGGTGATGGGGATTAAGGAGTATACTTGTTGTGATGAGCACTGGGTGACATATGGAAGTGTTGAGTCACTATATTGTACACCTAAAACTAATACTACACTATATGTTAAATTATATGCAAACAATGAATTATGGAACATTGCATCAAAAACTAATGATGTATTACTGTATGGTGACTAACATAACATAATAAAAAATAAAATAAATATAAAAAATAAAGTTAAAAAATAAATAACGAATTCAAATAAAAACTTAAAAAAAAAACAAGGATAAATATTCTAGTTGCTTACATTATGGTACTGTGCTGATCACTAGTATCTGTCTCAACATAACCTAGCAGAGTAGCTTTTAAACTATTTTGGCATTACTTGCCAAAAGAAATAAATTTTACAGGGTGCCTGGGTGGCTCCATTTGTTGAGCATCTGACTGGTTCAGGTCATGATCTCAGGGTCCTGGGACTGAGCTCCATGTCAAGCTCCATGCTCAGTGGAGAGTCTACTTCTCCCTCTCCCTTTGACCTTCCCCCAACCTGTGCTGTCTCTCTCTCTTCAATAAATAAAATCTTTAAAAAATAAATTTTACATCACAATTAACACATTTATATTTATATATAAATGAAACAAAAGCTTGATTAAACCATAATTATATGGACATTTCATATAAATGGAATCATACAAAAGCCTTTTTTGTCTGGCTTTTTCACTTGGCATAATATTTTCAAAGTTCATCTATACTGTTGCAGTAACAGTACTCCATTCCTTTTTATGGTGGAATAATATTTCATGGTATGGATATATCACATTTTGTTTATCCATTCATCAGTTGATGGACATTTGAGTTTTTTCCATCATTTGGCTATTATGAATGTTCATGTACAAGACTTTATGTGGACATTTTTCCCCATTTTTCTTAGGTATATACACAGCAGTGGAATTGTTGGGTCAAATAGTAACCCTATGTTTAACTTTTTGAGGAACTATCAGACTGTTTTCCAAAGTGGCTTCAACCATTTTTACCAGCAGTGTTATGAAGGTTCCACATCTAGCTTTTCTATTATAACCATTCTTGGGGTATCTTATTACAAATACTGCTGTAGTAAATATCCTGCATTTGCATTTCCTGCATTTGACTTACATTCTCCTGATGGCTAATATGATGAACATCTTTCCATGTGCTTATTGACTATTTCTTTGGAAAAAAAATGTTATTCAGAACATTTGCCAATTTTTTATTTGGGTTATTCTTTGTATAATTGACTTATGAGAGCTCTTTATATATTCTAGGTACAAGTTTCTTATCAGAGATATAACTTCTAAACGTTTTCTTCCATCCTGTGTGTTTGATAGTATCATTGGAAGCATGAAAGGTTTTAATCTTAATGACATCCAATTTATCTATTTTGTTGTTGTTTGTGTTTTTCATGTCATATCTAAGAAACCATTGCCAAATTCGAGGTCACAAAAATTATCCCTATTGCCCCCATTTTGTTAAAATTGCCATAATATCATTATAACATCTTACCAAGTAATAGTGATTCCTATTATCATCAAGTGTCCAACCTGTTCAAATTTCCAGTTGTTTCACAGTTATCACAAATTTGTGTTTACAGATGCACGCACGTGCATATGCACACGTGCGCGCGCGCACACACACACACACATACACACGTTCCACCTAAGTCAAAATTTTTCCTTCCTATTTCTTTGTTAAAAATCCAGGTTGTTGGCCCTGTAGTTGTTTTGTTTTTGTTTTTGTTTTTTAGTCTTTACCTCCACATTGCAATTTAATATGTTTTTCTGTCCTCTGTGTGTTCTATAAATTCATTATTGATCTAGAAGCTTGATCTGATTCAGGGTTTATATAGTTTGTTTTGGCATGAGTCATTCATAGGTAGTGTTGTAAGCCCAAACCTTTGAAGTGGGAACTTCTTTAGGTTTTATTCTATTTTGTATGGCTATGGGCCATATTGTTTATGACTTTCATTCATTCAGAATTTCCAGTCATTTATTTAAGATAAGTGACTGTTCTAGCCTCAACGATTTCTAGAGAATAAACAGCAATTCTCATTCCTTTTAGAGTCTATAGTATTCTAGGAGTTCCAGAACTTAGCTTGTCCTATTCCTGGCTAATCTAGTTTCTACCCCCTTCCATCAGTATATGTCTGCTCACTCTTACAGTCCTAGGGTGTAAGAGGAAGAAGGGCTTAGAGGTTTACTGAAATTGCATGTATTTTTTCTGAGATGAAGTTTCAGAGGTTTCACTGAATTTTCAGGTAGGTCTAAGTCCTCATGTGACAGAAAGGAGATGGAGGCCAGGAGAGGGGAAAGGAGTTGCCTAAAAGTCATAAAGCAAGCTTAAAATAGGGCTGGGAGTAAATCTGAAACCTTCCCACCCAAGGCTTTTCCCTAGTTCCAGACATAGAATCAGGAACATTGAGCAGGGCAGTGATTACAAACATATTGCAAGTTCTGTAGAGGCTTTTCAACTGCAAACTTGGCGTCTTTTCATAATACCCAGCTTGCTGGAAGAGTGCATTCATGTCTAAAGAAACCATAAACAGGAAAGAAAATTGACCTGCAAGTGCAGGGATATCAGAGAAGGCCAAACAGAATTGGATTTTGGATAATTTGTAGTGTGTCCTTGTGGGTCTGTCAACAGCAGTGTTTATTTATTTATTTATTTATTTATTTTTGAATGTGTATAGCTAATTATGAGTTGCCTGTAAATACTTGGGCGTGGCCAAAGATACCTTTGCTATCTCCCCGGCCTAGACTCCAAAATAAGAGGATGCCAAGGCATGCCTCCTTCCCACCCACCCATCCTTTTTTCTGTTCCTTTTCCCTCTTCTTCAACCTTTTTTTCCCCTTCTTTTCCTTCACCCTCCTCTTTCTTCAACTTATTCCTATTTCTTCTCCTTCCCATCTTTCTTTCTCTTTCCCTATTAGTCTTCCCTTTTATCCTCCTTCCCTCCCTCCCGGCCACGCCCTCTCCTTTCCTCCCACTTCTGTGTGCACCTTCCCCCTTCCTCTCCCTACGTCCTCCTCAACCCACCCCCAACAAGCTCTCCACTCCCACGCCAGAACCGGCGGCCATTGGCTCGCGCTAGTGGGGGGGTTGGGGGAAGGGAAGGATTGGGCCCTCCGATAGGTTGCCGGGGCGAGCACACCAGCTGAAGTCCCGCCCCACCCAGCGAGTAAACGCACGGCTGCAGCATTTGCTATTGGCCGAGGGGACTGTCAACAGCTCCGGCAGCTCCTCACGCAGGCGCCCACAGTCGTTAGGTGAATAAAAACACCGCCTACGGGCTTGGGGGGTGGGGAGAGGAGAGGGAGACAGCCAGCAAGGCAGGATTTAAATGAAAGGCTGGAAGCCGGGAGCCCCGCGGAGAAAGCAAGCAAGCAGGCTAGAAAAACGAGGAAACTAGGAAAGCGAGCGACCTAGAGGGAGTAGGGGAGACCGCGACTGACCTGTAGCCAGGCAGGTGGACAGACGCACGCCCGGACAGACAATCGAGCAGGCGCAGGAGAACCTCGCACTGGTTCCTCCCGCCTTTCCCTTGAAAAGCCAGGATTTTGCCTTTTGCTTGGCGCCCGAGAGAGAATGCTGGACTCTGCCGACTTCAGCGCGAGCTAAGATTTCTCAGCTAGGGAAGAAAAATCAGATTAATCCTGAGAAGGGGGAAAGCAATCTCCCCTGTCCCCATCCTCCCCCCCCCCCATACCAAACTCGGGCGCCAAATCCAGCCCTTCCCCAACCATCCGACTTCCTCTCCCTTCTAGCATGGTGGCTGTATGGACAGTCTGACAGAACAGAGACTGACATCTCCCAATCTGCCGGCCCCCCACTTGGAACACTACAGTGTTCTGCATTGCACCATGACCCTGGATGTGCAAACTGTAGTTGTTTTTGCCGTGATTGTAGTCCTCCTGCTTGTCAATGTCATACTCATGTTTTTCCTGGGAACGCGCTGAATGGAGTCCAGCTTCCTGAGCTGTTGCGAACTCTCGCTTTGATTTCATCCCGAGAACCACCGAGAATAAAAAAGAGACAGACAGATAGAGACAGGGAAAGAGAGAGAAAGCAAGCTTTCTTACTCAGGGGGGAAAACGTTTTGAGCTTCAACATGGCCTCGCTGTGATATGTATGACGTTGGTATATTATCTCTCCCTAAATCTTTTGTCATGTCTTGTCTTTTAAATATGCCTGTGAATGTAGTTGCTTATTGCTTGAGTAAAATAGTTGATAAAGAAATGTATTCTATTTAAGTGTGCGTGTGTGTGTGCATTCTCCATCTATGTGGCGTTCACGGAGCAAGATCTGCGTCCTTAAACAGTGGCTTTGCTGTGTGTGGTGTTTTTGTTTTTCAGTTCATTTTCTTGAAAACTACCTATAATTTCCGTCAAGGAATTTTAGTCAAAAATTATCTCATGCCATCAGGAGTGAATTTGGTTTTGTTTATGGACAAGGATGGTTGTGGGAAGAGCGTGATGGATTTTTGACATCTTAGGAAAGACAGTCCTGCACTGGATGTTAAGAGGGAATAAAAATGAAACAAGGACTGAATTCAGGGAAAATGATTCTTTAGTTTCTAATGATAAGTAAGAATTTGAGAAGTGATATGGTGGGGTGCGTTGAGCTGGCAGTTGGTGACTGTGTCCTTTGACTCAATTAGCTGTCTAGGGTTTAGTTCATAGTTTCCAATTTGGAAATAAGCCATCTTTAAAACATTTCTTAAAGCATTAAATGTCAGTTTCTTTGGAATTATGGACTGAGGCATTAAAGTCTTCTTTGATGTTTATGAATTGGCAAGAAGAGATATTGACAAGAGCTGTTTCGGTTCATTTTTCCAAAGAAGATTGTACACCTGGATTTGAGTTTGTGGATTTTCTCTGTGTCCTCAGAAAAAAACAACAAAAGCCAGCTCTTTACCCGCCTTGGGAATAATGGTACTTGTATATGCCTCTTTTGAATAATCTTATTTGCAATGATGTTCTTGAACTACGTTTTTAAATAGAACTTTCTAGTGCTAATGATAAAGTGGTGGGTTTTGTTTGCTTTCTTGTTCTTTAAAGATCAGAGGTCTCTAATTGAAGGATTTCCATAACAAAATGAAAGTATGTATCATGCTACATTAAGAGTTTTGAGCACCCCCCCAAAAAAAAAAGTCTGCGTGGAATGGGCTGAGAGCTGGGGAAAACGAGCTAGAAGCAACATTCAATTTTGACATATATTTGCATTTCTGTATCAGATGGTAGTAGTGGTGATTGCTGTCATTATTGCTATATTTTTATATTTTTCTTTCTGCTGAAAAAGCTTTTGGAAAAGCCAGGAAATGGTCTCTGATGCCGATGTACAGGATACTTATTTTCCCCCTACCTCCTCCCACTGATTGGCAGGTATTCCATTCTATGTTTACCTGACTTGAAATAGCGCTGTTTCTGGCCCATGTAGCAATGAATCAGGGTGCATACAGTCTACATGCATGTTCCCCCTACACCCGAGGGGATGGCTGCTCACGTGTGATGTACAAATCTGGCATTGTGCTGTCAAGTTCCATGTCTTATTGTTCAATCTCTTTGGAAATGATTATGAAGGGAAAGGGGCTGTGTAGGGGGCACTTGAAATTGTCCTGATCTCAGAACCCAGAGAATATTATTTAATGGCGTCAGAAGAGGTTTTGAGCCTCAGGGTGTGTGCACTTGGCTCCGTGTGGGTAAAAGGCTTTTTAAAACAAATATTATTAATATTATTCTGTTGGTACCATAGTATAAGCATGATCTTGGAAGTTTGCTTATTCTTGGGAATCTGGGAAGATTCTTACTTACTCTCTGGTTCCTTTGTTGGGAGGGGGCTGGATTGAACTGAACTTGTTTCTTTGCAAAGAAAATCTTGTGATTCCTCTTGCCCCACAACATACTCTTAGCTCCAGTGGTATTATCTAAAATAAGGTTATGTTTTGGCTGGGCACTTTGTTTTGAGACACGTTGGACAGGAAAATCTCTAGGCTGGGTAGCTACAGGCTTGGGTTCTCTCTGTTGAGAGATTATTTGACCTTGGGCATTTTTTTTTCCTTCTCAGTGTGTTTGGGCTTCCCTGTAACATTGGCATTTGGGGAAGATTGGACTAGGTGGCCTCCAAGTTATTGCATTCGGTGATTTTGGGTGCCCAGAGGCGCTTGAAATCAGAAGGGGATGAACTGGAAAGACAAGTGAAAAGGAAAATGAAATATTTATCAATGGATGATGGGGTGGGGTTGGAAATACCTGGTTGCTGGTATCTGGAAAAACTTGAGAATTTTTACCTAGCTGTATGGGAAGAAAACTGGACTATAGCAATGGAATGCTTTTTGCTCCCCCCCCCTTTAAGGTGAGAAGGGTTCTCTAAAGCTAGTCTTTGAGCCAGGTTTGTGGCAAAGTGGTGTCATGAAATGCCACAACCTTCATCTCTGGGTGCCTGACAGACCCTTGGCAGAGAGCCTTTGTGAATGTATGTGTGTAGGGTGTGTGGCAGTATGTTTGTGGGTGTGTATGCACACTCTTCTGTGTATATAGAGGGAAGAGGGTGCACACTCTTGAAAGTGGGTGGGGGTTGGTTGTGCTAGGAATGAGGAAAAATAGCAGGGCATGCATTGAGTGTTCCGTAGTTCTGAATGGCCTCCTTGTGCTAGGGCCTGTAAGGATTTGACCGGTGCCAGATTGGATGGGTATTTCCCCTACACTCCTCCAACCCCCCTACCCCACAGCCCCTTAGGCTAAAGGAGTCGCTTGACTGAGCCCTTCCATCAGTAATTTAGCTGGCAAAATGGGTAAGCATTTTTCAAATTAACTTATCTCTAGGCAAATAAGGAGATGTTGCTAGCCAGATGGCAGGCCACCCAAGAGCAGCTAAAAGGGAGTTTGGGAAGTAGAGAACCAAAGTTGGCAGTATGACTTTTTACTTCTGTGAATCCTAAAGGTTTGGCATTTCTCCTTCAGACTTGTGAGGATATGCAAAAAGAGAAGAGTGGGAGAAAATGAAAAATGCAGCCCAGAGGAGTGGAATCCTCTGCATTTGACTTTTTATTCTTCCCTCTTCTGCCTCTTCTCCCTCTTCCATTTACTCTCCCCTCTGATACAGCCTCCTCTACCCTGCCCCCATTCCTGCTCTAAGTGGGTGGTTGGTGGGAGAAAGAGGAGTAGGAAGAGAAGAGGGGTTTTTATCTCTGATTGTCCCAGCTTTTTCCAACTAAGTTTCTCGCTTCCTTACCTCTTCTCTGACCTTTTTGGGTAGAGGATAAGCTTTTGCTCTTAGAAAGGACAAAATTCCAGCTCAGAAATTTTCCCTCCCAGCTCCCCACCAGGGGATTCAAGAGCAGCCTGTTACCAGTATCCTAGCAACCTTCTGCATCACTCAGCTCCTGCTGAGCTCTGGAGCCCACCCTTTAAAGGTCCAGGCACAAAGGGCTCTAGGGAAAGGTAGCTGGAGCCCAGAAGGACTTGGAGGGATGCTTTTGGGGGCGGGGGTTGGTGAACGAAGAAGAAGCAAGATCCTCATTGCCTGCAAATGCCTAGAAAACACATCCAGAGAAGGTATATTAGCCTCATTAACCATACTAGCCTCATTCCAGTCATTGGGACTGTTTATTGGAAGGCTGCTGGGTTCAAATTCTTTTCTCCTTTCTTCCAAATGCCTTCTTAAGATTAACTGAGTCATTTCACAATCTAGTTTTAGTGCAAGGAAGTCTGTAGATCCTGAAAAATATTTTTTTTCACCCTGACTTTTGGCTGAGGCAGAGAGGAGGTGAAGGGATAGTATGGTGGGAACAAACTGAGCAGTGCTTTTCCCCTATTGAGACAGCCCCTATCTGTCAGAACCTGTAACATCTACTTGTGTAATGTGCCCCAGTTTTGTCTGTTGCTTAGGGAACTCTGCTCAGGCTGGCTGCTGTATGGAATTTAGGGGATTTTGTTTCTATGTCATCGGTTTCTGAGTAGTTTCCAAATGGGAAGGCTGGGCAAATTAGGAAGGCCATTTTGATTGTGGGCCTGGTGAACAGGTTGGGCTTGGCCTTGGCTGATTCTCTCATTCACCACTGTGTGTAATTAAGTATTGAGAGCTTCGAGATCCCAGTGAGCCTGTGGGTAAGGTAATTAACCCTGTGGTGAGGCTTAGATTGAGAATACTTGGCTATGATCAAAAGGCACAGTCTTACAGTTGCAGTCTTACAGTTGCAGTAACTTACAGTTACATGGGCCAAAGCATGTCCCCCTAGCCTTTGTCTGTTATCTTGGCCTCTTCTCCCTTTGGCATGTGGAGTGTTTGCTCTGGACAAGGACATAATTGGGAATTGAACCTGTTCGCCCAAAATAACGCTTCCTTAGAAGATCTCACACTAAACTTCTGGATCCAGCCCCAGTAGCTTTGCCCCCTAAATGATATGGAGGTGAGGGATTTTATACTTTCTGGCTTTTATTTCTAGTTCTGCAACTTGTTTTAGGCCAACTGAGGCTCTGGCTTTCTAAGAATCCTTGATCAAAGTTTAGCTCTTCTGATATCTGCCCAGAGTGTCTTCTGTCATTAGGTGGGTCTAGCTCTCAAGAACATTTAGTTAAGCATGCTTTACCTTGGCATCAAAGTACAAAGTGGAAAAGCTATGAAGGGGAAGTGCCTAGAGGATAGAGAAGACTTAGGTACAATCCAGTAATGACAGTGCTAGTAATCCCTTGTCAGTGCATGGATCTGTAGAATTTACAAAGCAATTTCACATCTTTTCTAATTTTGTGTATCACATCACCTTTGTGAAGTGGGTAGGGATGATTGTTATACCCTGTTTTACAGATGAGGTAAGTAAAGGTCAGAGATATTAGTGCCATGGACATAGGTCTGCCTTTCAAATGGAGAGTGGGGAGAGTCAGAGTTGATCATCCCCAACTAGTGTGAAGCTGAATGAGGTCAGGTGGAGAGGTAGGATTGTGAGTCATTCCTGAAGTCATACTATCTCCCTCAGCTTACTCATATTTTTCGTGCTTTTTCATATTTTTCATTTTTATAGCAATTTTACACAGAATTTCTCATTCAATAAAATGACTGTTTATCTTAAATATACATCAGAAAATTTCTTTTAGTCTTATGAAAACTCAGTATTTGGAAACTTTAAGGAGAAAGCAATGTGA